CGACGTTGCGCGAGAAATTTTTTTTTTCCGATTTAGAAAGAAACAAAAATTTATCGCTGGGAGATTTATCTACCGAATCCTCTTTGTTCTTTCATGTATTCGACTTTCATCTCAAACCTGCACTCCGATAGCTCCGATGGACGAGCGTCATCAGGCGACGAAGTCGTCGATGCTTGCACACATCTGAAGATACCAGGTGCCATTCGGGATCGAGTTAAATTACACAAATGCGATCACACTAAGGGATTATGGAGGAGCGTTTCGACTCGCGTAACGATTAAGTGTCTTAACGTTAGCTCTTATTAGATATATATAAGTGCTTCGGATGGTTTGCTAAGGTAATCAAATAAACTAACTGTACGATGTATATATTCGTTAACATATATCGATCGTGGTATATGCGTACCGCGTACGTATATAGGACTCTAGTGATCATATCTTTCTCGCACCGCGCGTTTCTTTACGTTTTCTTCTCGACTTCTACTTCCTTCGACCATAAATTCTCTCCTTCCTCAAATATAACATGTACATATTTCTCATCAGACATTCGGATCAGCTCTGCATGCGATTTTCTCGTTGAATCTCAGTAAACACCAATTAAAATTAACATAACATCAATATTATAATTTCACACTGAGGCTCAGTTTCACAACTCACAATTAACGAGGTCAGCTTGTTTCTCATCTCTTTCCAATTTTAACATTATAAAGAGATGAAAAATAAGTTAAACCTCGATTAAGAGTTAATCATAAGTTGTGAAACTGGGCCTGAATAATGTAAATCTAATATAACATACACATGTCTTACTTTTGGTACTTTTCAGCAAGAGACTTAGTATGATACAGTGATCATATCATCTTTGTTTAACATTGATGAATAACAAGAATGATTTACTGATTATAATGATTTATAATGATTTACTGTATTACAAGCTGATCTCTTGCTAAAAAGCATCCATTGTTGAATGTACAATTATAACATTGATGTTATATATTGCTTCCCTATAAGCATACAATATTGCTAGAATGTTATATGAATATTATTTACCTTTTTTTTTTTATTATATAATATTCTAGGAATATTCTGTCTTAGAGTTTAAGTTGATGTTTACTGGACTGGATATCTTCTCCCTGCTGTCAATCGCGGTAATAAAAATTCTTAAACGACCGAGCACGCATTAATTTTCTCATCTTTTTTTTTTTAATTAACTTTGATTAAGCTTACAGCTTTACGCGCGCATCTCATAATTGATAAATTAAAATGCGAAGATTGCTCATAATTGAAAACTCCGTCATACGTGTGATGAATTCGAAGACAAATCGTTCTTATCATTAAATGCTACCTTCCGTATCGTCGGGATTTTCTTTTCTAATGTTATTACAACGAAATTGCGCGTGATTGTACAAATCTTATAATTACGATGAAAAGACGCGAAAATAAGACGTTTATTAAGCAGGAAAAAATATTAAAAAAACGAACAGCATACAGCCGTTTGTTATAACGCGTGACAGGATTAATATATTGAAAAAAAAAGAGAGAATAGCACCATTAAAGATGTGGGAACGATATGATGACCGTTTAAACGCAAATTGAATAAGTTTCTGTGCTTGTAACCAGTTTCGCCGAATTTGCGCGATTCGCGCGTTCTCCCATACTATCTTAATTAAGTAGAGAGAATTTTATATACCTGTAGAAAAGAAACGTCCTCCTTTTTCTCTCCCCGGGGAGACGTTTCTTCCTCTAATTATTTCGACAAAAGTTGTTTTGTCTCGTAAGATAATTGTAAGAGTAAGATAAGCATTTTACGATCGAATAGAGGGTGAGATACATATGTATAATTAACTTCACGCAGTTCATGCAACTCTCTCGATGGCGAGTCGAAAAATTTAACGCAGACACGCAAAAGTGTTTTGTACAAAGGTCCTTTGGTTATGTATGTATAATAAAGTGACGTCCAGAAATCGCGAATGATCGTTCTTTCAAAGCGGCAGTGAAGTAAACCTTGATCGATCCTCGCTCGAAAATCGAAGAATTTTAATTTTGTAGAGAAACTACAAATGTTACATGAAAATCACAAAGTTGATATTTATTTTTCCGAAATTACTTTTTTTTTTAGAAATTTGTAAAATCAAATTAGTTGTATCTTAATTTTCTCAAGATCAGAAGACCAATTTTTAATACTAAAAGTACCTACGTTTCGTACTCACTAAAAAAGGATTAATCGAATAAATTAATAGAAAAATTAAGAAAGATGAAAATCCAAATATTTTATCAATAGAAAGAACAATTTTGAAAAATCATCAAGTTTAAGAATCCTATCTTTTAAAAAAAATATATTAATCTAAAAAATAAAATCAATGATTGTTCAGTACTTCTAGTATTAATTGATCTTATTGATTCTTCCACGTAATATATTACGTCTCTAGTGAAAATAATTTCTTAAAATTTTTCATATAATTTTTCAAATTTCTGTACAAGTTTTAAAATTTTTCCAAGTTTCTGTATAATTGTATAACATTTTAGAAAATATTTTAGACTTCTTACAAATTGAAATACTTCAGAAATACTGAGCAAGTCTACATTTTTCCTGAAATTTTTTATATATGTAAATTCTGATAATTTCTCATTCTATAATTTCTGAAAAAAATAAATAAATAAATAAAAATTTAAATATAAGCTATTTTTTTCAAAGTCCTTCATAAATTTAAAATATAAAAAACTCAAAAATATTATGAAATGTGAGAATTTTTATTATCAGAGGTCACATGCATTAAGCCACGTGATTTAATCCAATAAATAAGTACAAGTGGTGTAGTATAAAAATGTTTTAATAAATATCAATAGAAAAAAAGTTACAGAAAATATCTACAGGGATTACAAATGTCGATATATAAAATTACATGTCCCGCAACATAATTATCTAGGACCCTTACATTTGTCAATGTATCTAATCTTAACATTAGTCTTAATCGTAATATTGATCGCTATAGCTAAAGGTAATCGTAATACTCTTCATTGTGACACCCGATTGTGAAATATTGTCGATTTTCATAGATCCGTTTACACGCGTATCCCTTCGCGCGTTACTAATAAATATTACGCCATTTAACGATAAAAATTCCTGCGGCGGTATTGATAAAACGTCAAATCCGAAAAATACTGGCTGCCCAAATACGGGACAGTCTTCGCTCATATGACGAGTAGAAGAAAAATAATTGATTTTTGCAAAACTAGGACCAATATATTCGCGAGTACGAAACAAGTTCTAGATTACAAGGCACTAGTAAGAACTCAATTGTCACTCTCTTTCCAAGTAGTCATTGTACTTCGCGGATAATGAGAGCTTTATTTGTCGTAATATAAGACTAGCAAGATATACAGGGTGTACCACCGCTAAGGCATCGTTCTTTAATGGCAAATTGGGACGAAGTGTTTTGTTCGAAAATAGCTGATTCGTACGACGTTTACGTATCTCTCGAAGACGTGTTCTGAGTTCGATTCCAGAAGTTCGTCCCATATACTAACTTTACAAACTTTTCTGATTCTAAAGATATATTTCAGAGCAAAAATGTTGCCCTTTATCGCCCTAAATACAATTTTGTAATCATGCAATTTTTAACATTATACATTCTTCGAACTAAGTCTCAAAATTAAAATTCTATCAAGATTTGCTCGCTACTATGAGCATTAATCGCAAAATATCGTCTCATTACCTAATTCCCGTCTTCCAAAGTTTAACTTGATTTCTACTAAACTTAAACAAATTTTTTTAAATCGCACTTTATCTTTCAATCCTTTTATCAGTATAAAAATCTCTAATATTTCCGCCGAACAGAATTTCATCTAGGTGGCCGAGAAATACATTACTGAAATATTACCTGATAGAAGTGAACGCCCTGTATATGAGATTCAAGCGTTTTTTTTTATCGAAATTGCGCGTTTGCTCGACTGTACGGGTATGCAAGCACCATCAAAGTTGCGTTCGAGAGTTTTTTAGGAATACTACGTCGATAAAGAGAATTATAACTCTCTGATTATACAGGAACATTTATAGTGGAGTCTTTTATGTTTCGAACGCTTTGCTGTTGTTACGACTCTAAGCTGTTTCCCTTAATCGTAACGCTTGTGTACTGAAAAGATTCTCTTTGGGATATTTTCTATATACAATGATGGATAGCCGTCGTATCGCACTTGAATTGAGAAAAAGCGACTGCATTTTTCTTTCTTTCGTTCAAAAATGTAATTTTGCACAATAGTTTGTGTGTTGCTTTTCAATTCCAGAAAACACGATCGTAAATATATGTACAGTAAACATATTTTGTCACTAAATGTAATCCTACTCGGTTGACTGTTACTGTTATAATATGACGTATGTATCATAAGCCTGAGATTTGTAGTAACTATCATCTCTTTGCTAAAAAAATCTGTAGATAATATATGTTACGTAATTTACATCGAACACGCATGTCTTTCTTCAAGTAAATCGCAGTGCTCTATTTTACTTGCAATGTGAAAAAAAATTGCATTTTATTTCGACACTTATAAATTTGTATAAAAAAACTAATGAGCACCGCAAACATTTGTACTTGTCGATACCCGAGAAAAACTCAGTCGCTCACATGAAAATATACGATTGCGCATCATTTATTAAAACTAGATATTCAAATGATGTAAAACTAGATATTCAAATGATGTATAATTGATTCGATCTTGTTTACGAAAACAAATTGGAGATTCAATGAACAATTCATTAGCACACGATTTCCTAAAATAATCAATACATGTATATACGAAAGCTCGAAAATAAAACGCGTCACATCGAGTTCTTACGATATAATTTTCAAAAACCATTCGTGATATAAAATACTAAGTCGTTTTCTTAAATAACAATAATATAGATACAAATTACACCTCGAGAAATTCCTTTTTAAAATTTATTTGATCGTATTGTAACGATTTCTAAGTTCAAAAAAACTCGAAATTCGAGTATATTTGCTGTACCGATTAAACCAGAGCCTCAGCGTGATAGTGATGATAGTGATGATGTATGTGCTCGTGGACGTGTCTTCGATTGGACGTTGCTGCCACCGCATTTTGTGAGAATTCACGTTCGAGCCAACGCACGACCTGCGCCATCGCTCGAGCCTGGTCTTGCTCCCGCGTGGCGTGCTTCAGCTGATGCTTCTTGCTCGCTCTGCCACATTGCGTATGAACGAATTGCGCGTCATTGCGCTGCAAATTGTTGTGATTGTTGGTAATAGTCTGATGATTGGCCGTTTGTTGATTATTATTCGGAACGAGGTTGACGATGTTGCGATGAACATTGCTGCTACTGTTGGTGTGCTGCGGCGTATCATTGTAGATAGTTGGCGCGATCACGTTACGATTCAGTAATTGCGAATACGTCGTGTAAGTCTGGGGAGAGGAATGTGTTACATTGTTCCTCGTGTGTCGCGTTTTTCTGAGATTCGCCGATCGCGACTTGACCGGCGTTTTGGGAAACGACACGGAATGAGTGCTTTCCCGGATTGGTTTGTGATAGTTTGTATTCGCTTGACGAGGCTCTAGAGAGGTGTGACAGTCCTGATTATTATGATTCGAAGTTTCTATATGGGGACTATGAGATGGAATGCGCGATTGTTCATTTTGATGCCGTTTCCTGTAGACAAAAAAAATAGATTCAATTGCAAATGTATTGAATTAAAGAATTGGGGAATTTAATTAAATAATATTCGAAGATATTAAAAAAAATTGCCAATTCAAAAAAAATTTTAATTATTTATTATGCATAAACGTTACTGTACGAAATGTTAATACGCGCTATAATTTTGCAAAAGCGATTGCAATTAATTCACCTTGATGTATGAAAACTGAGATTATTTTTCTCCATATTAGCCTGAATAATTTCCAGCAATTGTTGTCTTTGTAGGGCGCCGCTGCGTTTCCTCTGATTCGTCGTAAGAAGCGGCGTTAATGGCGAGAACGCGGGGGAAGTGTCACTATCATCACTCACATCACCCTCCGAGCTGTTTGAATAGGGAGATGGTAAATGGGGCACCGGACCGACTCGTCTACGAAGCTCCTCTTGCTGCACTCGATTCGTTCTGGCGTTCTCGTCGTCGTCCTCACTATGTGTCTCCACTTCTTTTCGCTCAGTCTGCAATAGAAATCGAAATAAAATTAATGATCAGATTTAAAAAAAGGAAATACTTGTGAACATTAAAAAAATAAGATTTTTAAATATTTATATGCAGTAAAGATTTTAAGAAAAAAATGTAAATACTTGAAAAAATTCATTTTTATTCAGAAATGTTGGATTTTTGGAATCTGATCAACAATCTTCAATTTTGGACTCGGCAAAAGATTAGAAAAAAATCGTAAAGCTTAGGTAAGTCATATAGGATCCAATTACCTTAATTAATTTAATATACGAAGATAACTGCAAAGACAACTTGAATAAAATTATGAAAATGTTATATACAAATCTTACGAGAGAAAACTTTCGCAAGAACAGTTTATCTCTTTATTCTTATATCTTCTTCTGCCGCGATTGGTATTCTGAGTCGCGTATCGCGTGCATGGCTCAGATGTCGGAACGGCTGATCGCGGTTGCCGATCATACATACATACATACATACATACATACATACATACATACATACATACATACATACATACATACATACATACATACATACATACATACATACATACATACATACATACATACATACATACATACATACATACATACATACATACATACATACATACATACATACATACATACATACATACATACATACGCAACATGGTACATACGGAGGAATGTAGGTCTCACCTGACAACGATACCGCGTTGCTCTTCTCCTTCTAGGAACTCTGTTCGCGCCATGCCGAGTAGTGGTGGTGGCGGCGGCTGCTGCTGCATGGCTACACGGGGCGGCGTGTTTCAAATGACAACAGGACGGGTTGTGCTGGTGACCGGGCAATGTAGCAGTCTGTGATGTTTGCGTGGCATTTAGGCAGGTGCCAGCGGCATTGCGCGGTGCCTGGCTGCTGCTGCTGCTACCCCGCTGATCTGGCGACACCGTCAGTTTCACTTTAATTGTCTTACTACCGCACGGCGGTACTTGTATCGAAGCGCCTAACGTATCGTAAATGGTGGTCACCAGACCAGCTATGTCGTCCTTGGTGATCTTCCCGTGTCCGTCAAAGTCGTACAGAGTGAAAGAGAACTCCTGCCGCCTCCTGTCACCGTCCGCGACCGACACGTCGCACTCAAATTCCTGCAACGAGATCGGTTGAATTAAAAAAGAAAGTCTCAAGTGCGCGACTCTAATAACTATGGAACAACAATAATTACATGGTAAAATATAAATCTAATACCAATATTGTACATTCCTTCTTCACTTATATAAATGAAATCGATTTCTTGGAAAAATTCCCATTAATTTAATAAATTTAATTGATAAGATAATTATCGATCTTCCTTACTTTGCTGTAGTTGCTTGAAAGCATTGACATGAAAAAAAAGCTACTAAAATCGACTTGCTTTCTCACCTAGAATTTATTATATTTATTATATTTATATATATTTATATATATATTTTATTATATTTCAGAGTAGAATTTGTTATCTTCAAGATAAATTAAAAATGCACTCGGTTAAAAAAATAATTAATATTAAGTTGCATAAAAAAAAACAAAAAATAAAGAAGAAATAAAAAATTATCATTATACGTAATTGTAACATCCACTGACTCTTTATAGAGCCATTCAATATCATTTTCCATTTTTAATCATCGAGAACTTTGTTTATTTTAACACTATATAAATCAAAGTATTTCACCTCAAAACTAAGCTGTTTCGTTGTACCGCAGGTAGGCTGTTCATCATTACTGGTAGGTCCAGCAGGTACGCCCGAGCTATCAGCCGCGACCTGGGGCGACTCTACGGACGAGATTAAAATCGGTTGCGACTCCGTCGTCGGTGGTGACGAAACGTTACAGGTCGTCGGGACGCCCGTAAGCAATTCCTCGGAATCGCTACCTTCTGTATTGGTCCCTACGACTGAACAGGTAAGAAAGATTCATTATACTGGAATGCAGAGACTGCGCTAAAGTTTCATTTGACCTACGCAACCGCATCCTTCTTTCGCCATCAGGTACAATAAAAGGAGCCAAGATTAGATTAGACCTAATCGTCATGTTTTTTTCTTTTCAGTTTTAAGAGAAGCAATTATTTCTCGAGATTGTTTTATTAAACATATATCGACGTGCAAACCCGCGCGATTGGGCGCGGCGCGAACCGGGAACGCGAACGGGAAGCCGTTCTCCGATCGCTCGCTTTCCCGTCGCGCACGATCGCGATTTCTGCCCTCCGGCAAGACAGGCAGAGGAGCGAATAAAAGGCGGCATTTAACACACATCGCGGCATCCGCGACCGGTGGCGTGTTTGGTGCACAAGCGGTATTTTTACGCTTCCCCGCGCCGACAGTCACGCGGCGCGACGTTCCATCGGGGAGGAAGCAGCTGGAATTCTAACCAGAACCATTGAATCTCGAGTTGCTGCTGAGTTTACAGTTTGCACCGGCGAAGACGACGAAATCTTGACTTTCATAATTTTAGAGACATCTCGACGCTCGTCGAAAATTGAAAAATCTTCATTGTTTGCTTTCATGATGATTGACATTGAATACACTCTTTACTGTATCTATTATTTCCGAACGGCTGATACAACAATAATTGAAGGGCTCGATGTAAAAATTTATCAGCACCATTTATTTGATAAAAATAACTTTTCGAGTGTAATATACTAAATATATTTCATTCTTTTGATATAAAAAATAGCTCCGACAGCTTTAAATAAAATGAATTTCTACACTGAAAAAAAATAGTCAATTTTAATAAATATTTAGTTGAATACTGCCAACTAAATATTTTAAATATAAAGATATATTTATTTGATACAAGAAATGTTAATTTGATTTAACAATTCTTTTTTTTATTGAACAAATATTTACTTACTGTAAGTAAATGTTTAGTTAACAGTATTGAACTAAATATTTATTAAAATTAATTATATTTTTTTCAGTGATTTTCATAAAATATTTATTAACATAATATTTAATATATATAATACATTAATAAAGCAGTTTTCTGTTAATACTACAGAAAATTAAAAAAAAATAAAGCGATAAAGATCGGTTCTTGCACATACGTCCAATTATTAATTCTACTTTGATTGCTAAACTGCATCTTGTTTTTCGGATTTCGCAACGTTCCACCTTGAATGGCATTTCGGCCTACGTCCTGAATTGCAAGTTTCGATTTTATCGTTAACTATTGTGTAATGGGCTATAAACTCGTTTCTACCTAACGAACACACAAAGCAGAAATGTATATACGATAGATGTAGCTGTTAAAACTCTGACGAAGACGCATATATTTCAATGTGTTACATACAGAAGTGTGCATAAGAAGTACACAAACTCTCCTCCGACATGTTTCATGTTTATTATTACTATACGCGAAAATTGACGAATATTCGTGGAAATTACAACTTGATGGAACACATTACGAACAAATCGTTAATCTGTCTTTTAAAATTGTGTGAAGAAAGAGGTACATCATAATATTAATCTGTTATCAGTTTATCAATGTTTCCTGTTATACTAATTGTAAGATTATATCAACCTATTATTGACTTTATACATATATATATATA